AGGGATGGCTAACTCGTCTTGGTCTTCTTCTTGGACGCTCTCTTGTCGTCGATTCGTGAACTAGCCTTGCGCTTCATGTTGGGTGATTGATAGAGTAGGAACAACCTCTTGGAGACAGTTGAGAGAAGGGGAAAGGTTGTCGGCAGCCTCCCAGAATTTCAATATTTTGTGACGACCCCAGCGCTGGACCGTCTGTCGCTGATCGGAACCGAACGTGGGCTGAGGTCCCACATAAAGTTTTTCTCCCAGCAGCTGTTTTCGCGCCAAATCGTCCCATGGGCTTAGTACCGTCCCACCGTTGGCCCCTGCAAAACTTGCAAAAGCGCCTCTCCATGAGCATTCGCTCAGCAGATGGCGGGGGCACTTTAACGGTCCCGTCGGGGGAGCTTCTGGGTACACCGCCGTACAGTGCCGGCGTGGCCAATGATCAGAGCTGGCGAGAAGATTGACTCTCTGTTCACACACTGGATTGTCCAGAAACTCATCCGCATAACGGTGCAAGCGCCGGTTGCTTGGCTCTCCTGCGCAGCCATTGAGTACCGCCAGGCTGGCGAGGAGACAGCCAATGCCGGTGTCCAGACAGACCAGACATGCACGATTCGCTCCTGGCGCTTGAGATTTGCATGAGCTGCGTCTTCCAGAAGCAATGCATAAAAGAGAGGGTGGGAGTCAAATAAGCGGCAGTCACCTCAACTCAACTTCTCTCAATTCCCTCTTAAACTATTGGCAGACCGGGAACCATTTCTCTGGCTAAAGGAAACCGTAATCAAGGATTGGCGATGAGAGTGTGCAACGGCGCTTGGCATCGGAAGCTCTTTCACCCAAAAGCCGGACGGGAAGATGGCACGGCGGGCGGGCAAGCCTCGGGCGAGCCGGGCCCAACCGCCGAAACCCCGCGCCCCACACTTCCTCCTCTCGCGCTGCCCCTCTATCCTCCTCTCCTCCCCCGCCCACCAGCAAGCACCGCACTGAGGTTGTTCCTTCGCCCGCACTGCAAAACGTCATGCATCCATGGAAACACTAGATCAATTGGCTTTCTGTAAATTGCGGGCTTCCCAAGGCCGCTTCACTTCTCAATTGGGCAGTTCCCTAATCATCTGAACCCAGTCCTTTACGTCCATTACGCCCTGCCCCGCAACTGCTATCGTAATCTCACGTCTTTAATACTTGGACTTGCTTCCATCACGATAACTTCATTTCCTCTCAACTTTCTATTAAACTGTGATGAATTCTTACATACATTGAAATTATCTTGTACATCTTCAGCAGACAATACAAGGCATTCAATATGGCATCCCAGATAGACATCGGTGCTGTTAGAAGCAAGTTCCCTGCCCTGGGCCAAGACCAGGTCTTCTTCGATAATGCAGGTGGAAGTCAGACGCTGGGCACAGTCATTGAGTCGTATGTCCCCTGTACTCTCCAAACTCAAATGCTCAAATCTCGCTCACATGACGCCTCAGCATCCGGGACTATCTCACACAAAGCAACGTCCAGCTAGGCGCGTCTTACAAAGTCGGCCAGAAGGCGACGGCCTCCTATGGCGAAGGCTACCAGGCCGGCGCAAAGTACATCAACGCATCCTCTGACGAAATCGGTAAATCAATATGTCCAACACTTATTTGTGACAGAAATATTAACATAAGGGGGGGCAGTCTTTGGTGCCTCGACAACTCAGCTCTTCCGCAACCTATCCCACACCTTCACCTTTGACAAGGGCGACGAAATTGTCGTATCAGCAGTCGACCACGAAGCCAACATCGCCTCCTGGGTCGATCTCGCCGCCCGCCAAGGACTCGAGCTAAAGTGGTGGAAGCCCACAGACGCATCCTCGACAACGAACCCAAAGCTAACAACAGAGAACCTGAAGCCCCTACTCTCGGACAAGACCCGCCTGGTAACCCTCACGCACGCGAGCAACATCCTAGGCACGATCCACGACGTCGCCTCCGTAGCCTCCCTCGTCCACGCCTCCACCCCGAAAGGCCTCGTCTGCGTCGACGGCGTGGCCTACGCCCCGCACCGGCCCATCGACGTCAAAGCCCTCGGCGTCGACTTTTACGCATTTTCGTGGTACAAGGTCTACGGCCCGCACACGGCCATGCTGTACGCGAGCCGGGCCGCGCAGGACGCGCACATGCGCTCCATCGGCCACTTCTTCAACCCGAGCGAGTCCCTCGAGGGGAAGCTCGGGCTCGCGGGCGGCAGCTACGAGCTGGTCTCGGCCGTCCCGCGGGTGCTGGAGTACCTGGGCACGCCCGACTCCCAAGGCTGGAGGGGGAAAGTCGAGCAGGAGGGGCAGCTCCAGACTACTCTGCTCGAGTACCTCAACGGCCGGGGCGACGTGACGATCTACGGCGAGACCGATGCCGGCACCGACCGCCGCGTTCCGACAATCAGCTTCCGAGTGCAGGGGTGGGGCACCAAGGACCTCGTCAATGCCGTAGAAAACGAGTCCGAATTTGCCTTCCGATGGGGCCACTTCTACTCGTACCGGCTGATCAAAGAGATTCTGCAACTCGACCCTGCCGACGGCATTATTCGGGTTAGCATGGTGCATTACAATAGCCGTAAGTCATGTGTGCACCTTATCCGACCTGTGAGTTATGCTAATCAGCCATAGTCGATGAAATCAAGGGGTTTATTGCGGCCTTGGATAAGGCATTGCAACAAAAGACCAAATAATAGTGTATAATGTGATAGAATTAGGATTAGAAAGACCTGTAACTCCGGCATACCACCGGAAAGTTGCTGTCCGTCTGATATCTATATACGCTGAACATAAATCATGGCTCCCATAGCTTTTTATAGAGGACAGAAATACCAACAAAAAAGAGGAAAAAAGTCGTAAAAACGTGGCCGTGAGAGAAAAAGTCGGGGTTTTGGTGGTGTGGGGACTCCGATTCCGATCTCTCTCAGAGCTTGCCAGTCTTCTTCTCGACGGCTTGTCTGAGGATCTTAATGACCTCTGCGGGGTCCTGGGCACCAAAGACAGCGCTGCCAGCAACGATGACATTGGCGCCCGCGTCGGCAGCCTGGCCGACGGTGGAACCCGTCAGGCCGCCGTCGACCTCGATGTTGAGCTCCGGGTACCGCTCGCGGAGGGCCTGGACCTTGGGCAGCTCAGAGGCCATGAACTTCTGTCCGCCGAAACCGGGCTCGACTGTCATGATCAGGACCATCTGCGGTTGTGGAGAGAACCCCCTGTCAGCCTAATGCGCCTTCGCGGAGACCCCATCTTGTGGTGTGTGTAACAGCTGCTCGTAAGAAGAAAAAAAAGGGCAATAACTCACGTCTGGTCTCTCGAGTGGGTCTTCACTCTCGAGGAGCTCCCACACAACGTCGACCGAGGTTGCGGGCTTCAGAGCCACGCCGGCTAATATGCCCTGCTCGTGAATGTAGCGGATCAGGGCGCGGGGGTTCGTCTTCTCGTCGGATTGGACCTCTGGGTTGTCGGAGTCGGAGGAAAATGCGGCCTCGTAGTGGAAGCAGTACAGGTCTGCGCCGGCCTCCTTCATGCCCTTGACCCATTTCTTGGGCTAAATCGACGGATGCGTTAGTAGGCGCGTTGTAATATGCCGGGTTACCGCAAATGGACTTTCGGCGACCCCCAAAAACATTAGCCCAGGGCAGAGGGAAAGCAATTACCTCGGAAACCATCATATGACAGTCAAATGTGCCCTTTCCCCATGCCTCGATGGGTTTCTCAACATGACCTCTGATCTTGGCGACAACACCGGGTCCCCATGAAATGTTGGGCACAAAGTGGCCGTCCCTAGAAAACCATGTTGGTTAGCCACAGCTCGGCTCGGATAAGAGAACAAGTCCTTTGCGATCGGCTTTCCAAAAAAGCGGTCGCAAGATGCTTGTGTGCTGATTTTTTTTCTAGCGGGGTATGGTCTCCGTACATGATATCGACGTGAAGCCAGTCAGCGCCTTGCTCTATGGTCTTGGAGCACGCATGGCCAAAGTGGCCAAAGTCGGCCGCGAGAATCGACGGGGCTATGATTGCCTTGGGCGCCATTGTGCAAGTAGGTAGGCAACGAGTGCAGTCAGAGAGAGAGAAAGCTGTGCTTCGTTTGTGTTTGTGTGTGTCTCTTTTGTGGTGATTTGAGAAGGGAAAAATAGAGAGAGGTGTGCGTGGGCGGCGGATGCGAGAGCGGGTGTGTCTGGTTTTGTTCGTGGGCACTGAACGGCTCTTCGGCGTTTGGAAAAGGGTTGGAGGGTACACGATCGGACATGCGACCGGAAGCTGTGGTAAGCTATGGACCCTGAACCACGAGAGCTCTCTCAGGTGGAGTTTCTGTTGGGATCTTCCCACATTCTGGGATATTCTGGGATCTAGAATCACTAATAATTGAGGGGTCGCAGTCGCGCCACCCCACGCCAAACGTCAACCCCGCCGGGCACGTACCGCCCGTATGATAAGCTCCGGAGTACATAACGCACCCCTTATTTTAGGTACCTCCCTACCTAAGCATAGCTCCACCCTTCCCATTGGGCTGGCTAGCTGGAAATTCAAGAGACGAGGGGCCGAATTGACCCCTGACGTTGCCAGTACTAAGGTAAAGTACCTTACTGCGTATGTCTATGTAGATGGCCGGCGGGCCTCGCCGCCTCGGGTGATTATCCGCCGCCGCGGATTTGCGGTCACCTGTATCCGCACATCGTACGCCTCCATCACCCTCCCCGGGACCAAAAGAAACATCCCACGATGCTCATCAATGGTGTTGTTTGTGCCTTGGCTCCGCGTCAAAGTGCCAGTGTCCTACTCGACTGATCATCACCGTATGGCGTGTTCCATCCACAGACTCGAGATATCTGTGGGCACACATCGCGATTTCGGCCGAGAGCGTTGACCAACAAAAAAACAATGGAATATGCGGGAACGACCTACTCCTGGTCCACTCTAAACTGCCTGGGTAATGCTATCCCCCGTTTATACATACACAGAGCGTGAGCCAATAGCCATACTGTTTGATCTTGCTCCGCAAACAAATTTAGTTGTCAAAGCTGTACTTCAACCAGCCACCCAATGCCTTCAAACTCTCCCAACGGACATTTTCGTCCGACTCTCCCATTAGCTCCATAACTCTGGTCTTGAGACCAAGCTTCTCCAGCTTGTATCTCATCTCAGGCACCTCCTTAACCAAGGCCCCAACATCGTTGCATGCAATAGCCAGGACTGCCTTGTCGTTCTCCCACGGCTTCTTCATAATCTCGGCGAGCTGGCGCGCAATAGCTCCGTTCTCGTGCTCCAAAATCTTGCGCGCATTTTCGGCCCAGAAAACCTGGCTTCTGTGAGGCGGTGACCACCGGAGGTGACCAGACTCGACCTCAGCGACGTACTCGTCAAAGGTTGTCTTTGTCTTGGTGTACTCCTCGAGAAGTTCCTTGAGACTTTGTGCGTCTTCGAGTAGGTCAGGGTCTGTCAGGTGGCGGCCGCTCAGGTTGTCAAGGAGCGCAGGTAGTCGCGCAAGGACTGCAGTAGGGAGGAGTGATTTCTGATTCTTGCTGAGCAAGTTGAAAAGGGTAGAAACAACCAATCGGGTCGTCTTCTCCTTGGGAGAGAGGCGCAAAAGCTGGGTGTACAGCAAGACAATATCGTACTCGCTGAACATGATCAGTTTGTGAAAGCCATACGACTAGAGTGTACTTACTCGTTAAGCTCGTCACCAATATCTTCGGCTTCGAAGCTCATTTGCCAGATGACCAGTAGTACATGGTATAGCAATTGCAAACCAACACCGCCGCCGAGCGAACCCTCAAATCCGGCGTTTCTTGTGGGCGCGGTTCCGCTCCATATGCTTGCCGAGGAGCTGCCGTTGCTGCCAATGCCAGCTGCTGTTCTGAGGATGTCAATCAGAGGCGCAATCGTCTCGCTTCTTTGGTTCCAGAATTGTTGTCTCGCGGCGTGTCCGTAGAGAATGGAGGAGTATTCCTGGACCGCGATATCCTGAAGGCCTGCATCAGAACTCTTCGCGAGGCCAGATAGGTAGGAGAGGAGCACGGGAATGGCGTTTCGGGTCGCCTGCGATTCGTTCAATGAGAGCGACATGAGCTTGGTTAGAGCCGTCGATGTGAGCAAGGGGATAGGGTCCTCGGTATTATTCGAGTGGGCGAGCAAAGGTAGAAAGTGCTTGTAGGGGTCGGTGTTTTTGAAAATAGCCTTCGAGAGTGACGGTACACCTATTTGGGAAGACGACAGCATTAGCGGGATTGAGGCATATGAATCGATCGTCAAGATATATTAATCTTAAGGACAAGTAGGGCAGGATAGGGAGAGTCTAGCCAAAGTCATAGGCTGGCGAATCAATGGGAAATGGTATAGAACGTACTGGGCAAGAGGTCCGCCAAGAGGACGAGGATATACTGGACGACATTGGCTTGCTTGCCTGCGGACTCGATCACCGAGGGCTTTCCGGATTCACCAACAAAGAGGGAGCGGTAGCCATCGAGATCTCCTTCTACAATCTCCTTCCGAGCTTCGGGCTTCTTCGCCTTATCAACAGCGCGGATGCGGGCCAGGTGGTCCTCTGTGATGGTGCCTGCTCTAACAGCGCCATCCCAGGGGATTGGCCGCTGGCGGATGTTGTTCTGCAGCGAGGCCAGGTAGGTGGGAGGATCGAGAGACATGGCGGCGAGTCGAGGGAAGTAGCGACCCGGGCGGCTTTTTGAATTCGAGATGCACCTATGTCGCCGAGAGGGGGGGTTTGGAGATGGACGGTGTGGATGGATTCGGCGGTGCTGAGGGTCGCAGGTCGTTGCGGCGGGAAGCTGTCTGACGAACGTAATGCTCTCAAGCCGCAGCCGCAGGCCCGCAGCCGCGCCCGCCCAGTTTTTGGGTCACTTCCTTGCTCAAGTCACAGCGTCAGGCTCATGGCATATGATTGGCTTGAGGTCCATTTCTACATAAGCCACATGTGGCAGCTCCAATGACCCACCAAAGCTCTACTTAGCCAATGAAGCTGATCCACTCGATTGAGCGTTGTGGCGGTGCGTTTTCCTCAATCACATCCACTTGAATCCTTCCTAAAGCTTGGCTCACTGCCCTCTTGGTCTTACACGCTCTGTCACTTCAAATAGCACTACGACCCAGTTGCCCCGGTTCCCAACCACCCGATTTCCCCAAGTGCAGCTATCGTTGGTACTCGGCTCGCCAGATGAAGCTGAATACTGCTCATCTTTTTTTTTTCCCTCTACACGAACGACCCTTGTACGAAAGACTGGCCCACGCCAATATGCAAGGCACATACGGAAAAGAAGTCCCTTGAATCTTAAAAAGGCGTCACTAGCCAGAACTTCACGGCCTACTTGGCGATGACCCCTCCTGGGTGCCGCGGAGTCCCATCCCGCCGGTCGGGCTCACTTGCACACTTGATGCCGTCAAAGTTGCGGAACCCACGGACTGACACCTGCCGAGATCTCGTCGTGGTGCCAGAAGCCAGCGCAAGAGCTGTCATGGCGCTGCCAATCTGCCCTATACGAGTCAAAGACCGTTTCCTCTGCCCTAGAACTTCTGTCACGAGAGGTCATGACCACTGCACTAGATCCGAGGTACACGGAGACCAATGTGACAGCGCGGAAATGAGCATGATCTCATTGAAGCAGCTCACGATGGGCTAACAAGCGTCCCTGCCAATGGTTGCAAGGCACCAGATGGCAAGAGTAAGCAAGGAAGGAGCTCGCTAGCTGCGTTACTCGGTTGCGAGTGACAAGCCTGCGAAACGGTACCTGACGGGGCCTGCCCGGCGGGAGAGACAAACGGCAGGGCAAACAATCGCACCTCTATTGTTACGGCCACGAGTATTCATTCGTACAGTTGGGTTGGAACAGGCTTTCTCTGCCTATCGATTGTCGTCCAGTGGACGGACCGACCCCTGTAGGTAAACAAGTGGGAACCAAGGCGCTCTGGGCCGGGCCAGTCACGAAGGTACCATCAGCGAGTAACGACCCGTTTCTGCCAACTCATACAGGCATCTCCCCGCACTAGGCCACTTATAACCCTCGTCTGTCCCGGGTGTCTTGGTCTAAGTGAAGGGGGAACCACATCTCGGCGCCCGATCTTCAGGAACAAGAACAGAAAAAGAAGCAGCAAGTGTGACGGAATCGCGCACTCAAGAGGAATCTTCACAATCACACTCGTCAGAGATTGGCCAGAAACTAATCGGTGAAGCTAGATCCCTGCGGAACTTTGCATTATTTGAGGGTAGTATTGTGGGTGTCAGAAGTGTGGGTGCGCCTGGTGACAGCGGCAGCAAAATCAAGAGGTTGGACTTCAGGGAGGTTGGGAATCGACCCGCGCAACGGCCAAGAAGAAAAAAAGACAATCCCACTGCCCAAACCAAGTAATACGACACTCCCGTCAGTCAGCGCCTTCTCAATCTCTCCCTCTCTCTCTTAAATCAAACTTACCTGCAGGTTTCATTCTTCCCGACTTCTTGGTTCCTTCTTCCCATCTAACCCAAGAATCATCACATTCCAAGCTCTCAGTCCCTGCCAATACCTCTGCACACTAACAGGCTAAGGTTGGCCAGCTCACACCGCGACCACTCAATCACACCTCGACTATACTATCAGCTTACCCTCCCTCTTCTTCTCATTCCCCGCCAACCATTAATACCTCATCCTACCGCTACAACATTCCTCACTCTCGCAATCTTTGGGGCGCCCACGAGGCTACGAAACAAGACAGGACCTCTCGATATCGCCATTGACGGAACAAAATTGGCCATCGCGGTGAGAGCCGACTTACATTCTCACTTCGCCGTCTTCCCGGCCTTGCGCATTCCTGGCAATTGACGACGCCGAGCAGCGGTCTCCGCCAGAAATAATGGCATGGCGCAAGCAGTCGGCAGCGGCCCCTCTGGTCGCCGGCCTTCTTCTCTTGGTGTCCGCCCCCACTCCGGTGTTCGCCCACCCTTATCCTCTCCAAAACGTCGCAAACAACCTCTTCTACAATTTGGGCAACCATTTTATGAAGCGCGATTGCGTTCAACGTTGTGGAGCCGACTCTCAGTACTGCTGTGGATCTGGAGAGCAGTGCTACACCGTTAACAACATCGCTGGCTGCAGCACCGTGAGCGGAGGTGGAGGCTACGGCATTTACACCACGACATGGACTGAGACGAACACCTTTACCAGCACAATATCGACAAACTGGCCTGCAGTGACAACAGGGGCAGCTGGGGGAGGCACCGGGGCCACCTGTGTTCCTCAGAGTAGTGGAGAGACGGCCTGTGGCAGCATTTGCTGCGCCGCCAACCAGTACTGTGCCTACTCAGGGCAATGCGCTCAGCGCGATGGCTGGGGCGGAGGCGTCACTACAATTACATCGGGAGGCCATACAATCACCACCCAATACTCTGCTCCTTACCGCATCACGAGCACCGGGGCCACCGGCACCGCCGCCTCAGCAACCAGCACCGGCACAGTCGTACCCATCACCAACGAGGGTACTGGTGGAGGATTGAGCGGCGGCGCCATCGCCGGTATTGTTATCGGCACGCTTGCAGGTCTCGGTCTTCTCATGCTTCTCTGCTTCTGTTGTATCGCCCGCGGCCTGTGGGGTCTCATCTTTGGCAAGAAGAAGAAGGAGCACAGCCACAGCCGCGAACGAGTCGAGGTGGTTGAGGAGAGATACTCGCGTCACGGCAGCCGCATGCCATCTGCCCACTCTGGTCGCCCCTCGCACGGCGGCTGGTTCGCAGGTGGCGGTCGTCCCGCCCCGGCTGCTCGTCGCAAGGAAGAGAAGAAGGAAGGCGCCAAGTGGTTGGGCCTGGGAGCCGCCGCAGCAACCATGTTGGCGCTCTTGAATCTTAAGAAGGACAAGCCGAAGGCCAAGCCTCGGTCAAGCTACACCGACTCGTACTACTCGTACACGGGGACAAGTCCCAGTGAGTCTTCATGGGATTCTCGGGATCGATCGGATCTGACGTCCTACCTAGGCAGCTCTAGCTCGGGCGGAAGAACTCACCGCACCGGCCACACACGCGGCACACACACGACGCGCCACTCACGGAGGTAGCACCCCAAGTTCTTTGGCGACCTCGGTCGAATTGCATATGCTGTCGGCTGCCTTTTTACGAGGCGGTGGAAGCCCCGAACATGCTTTGAACGTACATAAATTGGTATTATTGCTTTCTATTTTTCTTTTTGGCGTTAAGGGGGGAAATCATAATCCCACCGGGCTTTTGATAGCACGGTGATGGAAACTACAAGGCACGAGAGACGAGACATTCGGCGACGAAGAGGGGAATGAAAGAATGACGAGAGACACGAAAACTGGGTGGAGAGTGACGAAGGGGCTCGGAAATGGCCACGAAGACTATGGATGTGAGGAGGGTCATCTCTTTGGACATTGAGCGTTTCCTACTTCATTTTCCTTGGTGTGGCTGACTTTGTCTACCCATCCTCCAAAACCCGCATAGCATGTACGATGTTCAGAACGATTTGATGGCATAGACGAAACTTCTCGACGCCCTTAATGCATGAAATGGAAACTAAATTCTTCGATTGGGCCCTCTGATTACAACACTTGCTCGTTGCCGTATCGCCTTCCTGTCGTGTTGTTGCTTCAAGCTCAAGTGTGTACGCAGCCACACTGCTGAAGCTTTCCCGGGGAAGCCGTGTAAGAGTCCACAAAGTTGAGATGAACATGCGGCGCTTGCGCACTGCGAGCGCGTTTGACCATGCATGGAACAAAGCGAGTTTTCCATGTGCGGTCTGCGTTTTCGCGTTCGGGCCGTCTGATGCGTACGTCTCTGCGTGTGCGTGTGTCGGGGTATACGAGGTCTAAGTCTAGGTGTAAGTCTGCGATGCGAGATCTCCACCTTCGGGAAAGAGATTTCTTTGCCCTCCTCGTGGAGCATTTACCAAGACAGAGCCAATTCCGGTGTCCTTTTCTTCATCCCACTATTCGCTAGTGGCCGGTTGGCCCAATGGCAAGGCGTCTGACTACGATTGCGTTTACCCTCGTTCGTCTAGGGCGAGGAAAACGTTGACAAAGTATCAGGAGATTCTGGGTTCGACCCCCAGGCTGGTCAATTTCTTTTGATTATGAGACATTACGTGCTTTTTTCCCCTTCTTTCTTTTGGTGTCGTTCAAACTTGGGACTACTGGGCGGATGTATGGAATTACAGTTGATTGACGTTGCATCTGAAGAGGAAATGTAGTATTGGGTATGTGTGTGCCAGTAGACAAATGCTGTGAAGAGTCCAGCGAGAGGATGGCAACTCTCATGAGGCCATAATCTGGTCAAGCTTGGCTGAATTTTTAGTTCATCAGGATGACGAGATGAGTCAAGAGCTACACCATCACGGAAATCCCACCTTACTGTGAAAATAGCTGCGCTCATGTCGTTCAGTCACGAGGCAGGATATGTGGACGCATTGTCTACAGTGTGAAATTTTCCTAAATCCGCAAGTACATTTTCTCACAAAATAGCCAACAGGGAAGAGTTCTTTAAGTTTGAGTGGGTATCATTTCACCATGAAGAATGTCTCATGCGAGTAGGGTATATAATGAGGTGTTGTGGGATATACTGCTCAGAGAGGGGAGCAGGCAACGTCTTCTTGACTTTTGATGTGATTCATGGTAGCCCTGCGCTACACGATGCAAAGTGAAAAATGGAACCCCGGCCACGCCAATTGTGTTGTGTGTAAGACCCAGAAACCCCAGTTTGATTTTTGCATTTGCCTCGAAAAACATGACCTGTTTTGACCCTTTTTGTTTTGGTTTTGCTCCCCTCCTCCGGCTCATACATCAATCAATACCTTCGTTTTTATTGATTCATCGAGAGGGATTATACGTTGAGTGGAAAAGATGCATTTAAGCCTCCTCCTCAATGTTGCCCTTCTCGGAGACGTACATGCCGTCCAAGAACTTACGGATATCCTTGTTGCGGACCTTGCAGATCTGCTGGATATCGGCAGCGGACTGGGAGACAGCCTCGAGGGAGTTGCCGAAGAGGACGAGCTCGTCCTTCTGGGCCTTGGAGACCTCGACGTCAACGCCCTCGCGCATGATGACCTTGCGGACGAGCTTCTCGCCAATGAAGTTGCTAAAGTGAACATATCAGTCTCTCGCAATCATCAGGTATAGAAACATTGTGCAAACATACCGGATCTCGACCTCCCACAGACCAGTCTCGGAGTCCTTCTCCAGGTTGACGTTGATGGGGAAATGGGCGTAGACGTAGCGCATCTTGTACTTGAAGCCCTTGGTGACACCGACGATCAGGTTGTTGATGAGGGTGCGGACGGTGCGGAGAGTGGCAACGTTCTTTCTTGAGCCGTGGTGGATCTCAATGTTGATGGTGCCCTTGACCGGCTGGGAGAAGTTGACAGCCAAGTGGGACAGGTCCTTCACGAGCTTGCCTGGAGACGGGTGTTAGCCATATCGGTTTGGTGAGGGGTGCTGCCGCACTGAAGCCGTTGCGCTCTGCTTGCGCAGAGCAGGAACAGCTAGGGCCGGCCGTTCGCAACGTCTCGAGAGATATCGCGATCGGAGGAGAGTCTTGTACTTACCACGGGGGCCCTCAACGGTGACGATGCGGGACTTGATGTGAACCTTGACTGTTTGGAGAATCCAAGTCAGCATGCATTCGTTTGCCTGCCACTACTGCTCCTTTCGAGCTCATCCACAGTCTAAAACTCTTCAACCCAAAAACCCAAATGTTGCTTTGTCCGCCTCAAGCCTCACCAATCCCTCTGCCATTGTGATGTGGTTGTGGTTTTCCATTTTTTGCGCCAGCGACCATGTTGCCAAAGGCATCGAGGTTGCGACCATGACAGAGGAAGGCGAGAGACTCGAAGTGCGAATGGCGACAAATAGGTGATATAGTATCGTGAAGTTCAAAACCCGGCGGAGCTCGCAGGGGACCGCATCGTGGGGGAGGAGTATTTTCGTTGTATTGTGTGCTCAATCGATCGTCAAGGAGACGACGACGACGGCATTGCTTCACATACCATTCTCGGGAACCGTCAGGCTCTCTTGGGAGTGGATGTATCTCATCTTGACGTCGGGGGGGAGGAGGGCTGTCGGCTGGGCGATCTACTGGGCGACTGGTCGTTCGTTGGGCGATGAGGGACAATTCTTCACTTTCAAAAAAGTTCCAAGTCGGGGAGACTGGCAGTCGCGATTCAATTTTCGGGTGTGGGGTGCAAAAGTTCTAGCGAGGGCTTGTGTGCACGTGAGAGCAAAACCATGGTCTGTGCGTAATTGATTCTCTGGCCGACCGCCCGGCTGCCCGGGCCTAGTGGAGAAGGACGGATCCTGCCCGTCCGGGACATGGCCGTTGAGCCCCAGCCACAGCTCCGGTTCACCAGCCTCAAGCACTGAGGACGACTGCCTAGCATAGTCACGTGTCGGTACTGGCCAATGGGAGGATGCACTCCCTACAGCTCCAGTTGCTGCCCACTTCTCGATAGCTGCCCGGGCTGGCGCGACTGGAGCAGCGCAAGCCGAGTGAGTGCACGTACAGATACAGATACGTCAGCCTTGAAGCTCCGCGACACCCCCCTTCTCCGACGCTCCAATATCAATTCAACTTAATCATTAAATTCCAAGCTCGACGGGCTGACCGATCACTAGCCATTGGGACCTTGGATTCGTCGCCCCCTTTATATCCGAGCATTGAAACCACACAATCGCGCGAGATCCGGGCATTCCCCCGCATAAGCCAAGATGTCGTACTTCTTCTCAACCCCCGTCGACATCGACATTGTGCTGGAGGACGCCGACGAGCGGTCCATGGTCGATGTCAAGCTCGACAAGAACCGGCGCGAGAAGGCGCCGCTGTACATGGACGGCGAGTCCGTCAAGGGCGCCGTCACCATCAGACCCAAGGACGGCAAGCGGCTAGAACACACCGGCATCAAGGTCCAATTCATCGGCACGATAGGTGAGTCTTTCTGAGCGAGCGACCCTCAAGAACCTCTCCCGCCTTTCGCCCAATACTAATACTCCCATCTTTTTCCTCTGCGCAGAAATGTTCTTTGACCGCGGAAACCATTACGAATTCCTCTCCCTTGTCCAGGAGCTCGCGGCCCCGGGCGAGCTGCAGCACCCGCAGACGTTCGACTTCAACTTCAAAAACGTCGAGAAACAGTACGAGTCGTACAACGGCATCAACGTCAAGCTGCGCTACTTTGTCCGCGTCACCGTCTCCCGCCGCATGGCCGACGTTATCCGCGAAAAGGACATTTGGGTCTACTCGTACCGCATACCCCCCGAGATGAACTCGTCCATCAAGATGGACGTCGGCATCGAGGACTGCCTCCACATCGAGTTTGAGTACTCCAAATCCAAATACCATCTAAAGGACGTTATCGTCGGGCGCATATACTTTTTGCTCGTCCGCCTCAAGATAAAACACATGGAGCTGTCCATCATCCGGAGGGAGACGACGGGCGCCGCGCCGAATCAGTATAATGAGAGCGAGACCCTGGTGCGGTTCGAGGTGAGTTTGTGGCTCCGGATAATGCTCTCCTTCAACTTTCAATGGTTATGTGTACTGACTCTCTCGGCACAAAGATTATGGATGGCTCGCCCTCGAGAGGAGAGACGATCCCCATCCGCCTCTTCCTCGGCGGCTTCGACCTGACACCCACGTTCCGGGACGTGAACAAGAAGTTCTCCACCCGGTACTACCTCAGTCTCGTGCTCATCGACGAAGGCAAGCCACAACCACCCCTTATATGTTTATGTCTTTGATTAAATGCAAGCTAACAATCGAACACCAGATGCGCGGCGGTATTTCAAGCAGTCGGAAATCATTCTCTACCGCCAAGCCCCGGACGCCGCCGCCGGTCCTAACATGATCATGGCCGCCGCCCCCGAGAACCCAAAGTTGATGGGCCAGTCTGTTCAGACATAGAAGTATCTGAAGAATGACGCCATGATTTATAAGTAATGAGTTGTTTGATGAAATAGGGGGAAAGGGGGGGGGGGGGAGGTTATTCTGCATGATGTGGCTGCTGCCGCCAATGAGAGGATAAGTCCTCGTCAAGAACCGTCCGTCCCACGTAGTTTTAAGCATAGGTCACGGCGTTTGGGGTAAACAAAGCTAGGGTCTGCTGCACTGATACAACAAACAATGAAATTCTTCTTCATCATCTACCTTGGACCTTGACCGATTACCGAAAAACAAAACCCAATGCATGCAATTCGTGAAGGTATCTGGTTGTCCTGGACCATTCTTGTGTGGTCCAGGATCGCGCGTTCTTCATTACTTGTACACATGCTCTCTCCATCTCCATCCCCTACGAAGTAAACTCTCCACCCCCCCCCCCCACCTTTGGCCCGCATTGCCCTTTCAACTTATTGATCTCGTTTCTTTGCTCATTTCATCCATTTACAAAATGTCCATTGCATCGTCAGCCTCGAATCCAAACTGGTTGTTCTGAATGGCTGCGATCCGGTCGAGTTCGTCCTGGTATTGCTTGCGCAAGTCCGGTAACGTAACGACCTTGCGCTTACCCTGGAAGGTCGTCGGCTCCCTCGAAGCGTTGGCAGGCGGCAACTCCTCGGAAAAGATCCACGCTTGCTTCGGATCGACGCAGCTGAGGGCATTGATGAGCAGCAGATACTGCTTCGTGACCGCCGTATCGAGAATGTCCTCGCCAATGAGCTTATCGCCCTCGCCGGCGTGTCGCAGCTTTTGGATGCGGTCAAGCAGCACCGTAGCGGCGCCGCGGTAGTCGTTGTGTTTGATCCTCCAGGAGTAAAGGATCTGGTGGTATGGGATGCCGCTCAGGACATCCATCGTTGCCTTGCACCTTTGTGCCAGAATGTCGTCGATTGAGTCTTGTAGACCCGGGAACGGCAGCGACATGAGCTCGCTGTTGTGGTACGATTCACACATCTTGTCGACAAGCTTGCGAAGGGAGGAGAGCTGCATCGCCTTATCCTTCATGGCTAGTAGACTAGCATGGGCGACGTCGAAGCGTGAGAGTACCGTCGCCGCATTGAACTGTCGGCTAAGCATCTCGCTTCTGACCAGGGCAGCTTCGGGACTGGCGTGTGAGTATTGAATTGCGAGTCCGGCGGACTCAATTACATATGAGTATGCCTTGGCCTTCTCGAACAGAGCGACTGCGTGACAGTAATACCTAGCCGGCCCCTTGTTGAGCAGGTTCCACTCGGTATCGTCAAGCAGCCCGCTGCTGTGTCGGTCAACATCTACATCTTTGACGCCTGCCACTAACATTAGTCTTATTTCCTACACAGCAGAGGCAAATTGAACTTACTCATGCCTATCGCCGCTTTACGGAAGTGGAAGGCGGCCGAAGCGAAGTCTTTGAGCGCAAGGAAAACACGGCCCTGGATGTAGATGGCGAATGGCGTCTGGGCGCAGTAGGGATTGAGTTGAAGAGCAAGATCGGCCCGCTCTCTTCTGATGAGGGAGCACTGGATCAGAGTAGGTGACACCTCAATATCGCTGTTGGAGGCACAGAGATCCGTGACGATGTCTGTGATACTCGTAGCCAAAGGTTCATTTCTGCCGTCCACAAAGCCAAGAAGATGACCGACATTACCCTCCAACGCGGTGACGGTCTGCGTCTCCTCTGCAGTCCTCTTCGTGGTGCTAGGCGAGCCTGAGAAGGAGTCATTGCGCTCGTTCTTGTTGCCAATAGGAACGGTGATTTCGGTCTTGGAGAGCCACCGAAGCAGCTCTAACCGACGAAGTGACTCGAGGAACTGTCTGAACACAGCGCCGACGTCAATTCGTTTGGAGAGCATGTCTTCCTCTTGATCCCAGTCGAACTCCATGTGTACCAGTAGCAAGACCTGGCTGAAGATAATGTTCCACTGCAGATCAATCGTCTCTTGAACCGCCTTGACAATGAGCTTCCGTCCAAAGTCGGTCAGCGGTTGACGGGCCTTGCGGCTTCCAGACTCCTCCGTAGCCGCAACCAAGCCCGAGAGGCTTTCGTATAGATCCATCGTAACACCAGTGTAAGACTGTCCTAGACTCTCAATGACCTGTGCGCAGTCTTCGTCACTTACAGTGCGCCAAAGAGCAGTGGTGTCAAAGAGGTATTGGAGTCGTTCATAGTCCGTTCGAGGGGTCTCCTCGTAAATCTCAGGTCGCAGGGCGGCAGTGCAGACCTGTTGTATACTGTCCGAAATAGCATCGAGGAAGCCGACGCCCGTCGAGACAAGGTTTGCTATCCTTTCCGAGGCCTCATCTGGTCGCGAGAGATTATAGTACAGCCGCTCCAGTGAGCTGCATTCTCTGATGGCCGAGATTGCATCGGCACACACAACCCACGTCATGTCGGATTCTGCGTCGAGAACCAATGCAACTGCTTCGCCACGTTGCTTGTCCAACTCGATCAGAAGACGGTAAAATCTCCTCCACTGGGTCTCGCTGCTAGCACGGAATTGCTCATAATCCATACCACCAGCCGAGTTCCGGTCCAAGGATGCTGTTGAGGCAAGAACAGAGCAGATTGACTCTGCCAGGCCCTTTTGTTGACTCTTCGAGCTGCCCTCCTTTTGAGAATAAAGCCCCTTCTCGTATATGGACAGAGCTGTTTCGAGGGTCGCTTTGGTGAAGCGGCCAGGGGCGAGGATAAGATCCAACCACTTTTCTGTCGGGTCTGTAGGGTCAGAGGATCCGGACGTCGGCGCGGTGGGATAAGTTGTGTCAATATGGACTGAAGCCCACTCGCTTTCCCATGACTCGGCGATGTTGTCTCTGTTGAGATCCAGCTCCTGGACTCTGTAGGTCATATTGTTCTTCCACAATGTCCACAACTGAATACCGCCATCTGCAAGTGTTGAAAGAACAAAGTCCGCCAGGGTCCACACATCGGAGAGCGACGGTGACGATGGGGTGAGGTGGGTATCAGGGAATGCATCTTCCACGTAAACGGTGTCGCTGTCGCGGGCTTTAATGTTCCAGAATTTGAACTCTCCAGCCCCAATGGGCGAGTACGTGGCGCACATCCTGTTGCCCGTTCCGTCGCCAACCAGCTGCAATAAGTTCGTCTGTGTAGGTTCAATCTGCCACTTGCCGACTTCTTGCGGGTTGCGGTCAGAGTTCAGTATGTCGCCAGTAAACAAGATCTGACCTGTCCGCAGGTTCCAGATGCGCATGCGATGGTCGAGACAGACTGTGAAGAGAAACGCCGCATCATCGAGGCCCAGGTTCGTAACCTGTATCGACGTTGCCGCGCTCGCGTCCATGTGGATGTTGCGATATCGGATAGACTGGTTCTGCTGGAACGGGAGATAGCTTCGAATGCCCTGCGCCCATCCTTGTGAATTGTAGATCGTCTCCTTCCAGGGGTTGCTCGTTGCTATGCACAAGTTAGTGTGAAGCTCTTGTTGTGGTAGCAGCAGTCGAGGGAAAGTGACATACAATCCTGTGTCTTATTCCGGTCCAACCTCACCAGCCCGCCGTCGTGAAGAGAAATGACAATCTGATCGGTGCTCGCGGCAACCATGCGATGCGGGTGCTTGAACCCAAAGACCTTTGGCTGGTACACCTTGCAAGCATCTCCCGGGCCGGCCTCGATGGCGGAGCGCTTCCTGAAGAAGTCGGGGCGGAGAGTGAAGGAGTACAGGCAGTTGGCCTCGTCGAGCACGAACATGGAGAGCGCATCATGTTCTCGGGGGTCGGCGAACGCAACACAGGACGATTGAATCGGCACCGTGAATCGGAAATTGAGAATCAGCGGCGCATCGACCGTCTTCTCTTGTCGGCAGGTATCGACTACCCGTAGGCTGAGGACGAGACCGTCATCCAACAGCCTCCAGAGGAAGCTGCGCGGCGCATCGTGCCATTTGCGGTGGTAGACGGACGAAGCGGGAGCGAGGTTCTTGAGCCGAAAGTTGACTTCGTCTTCGCTGATGTTCTTGTCGCCGGATGTGAGCCTCCGGGTCGCGCCCCTCCCATTCGACGTCAGCGAAGGGACGCGGATGTTGATGATGGATGAGGCGGAGGCCGGTTCGAGATTGAGACGAGTCTCTCGGTATAAGTATTGTGTGTCGGCGGAATCCATTTTCGCTTTGCCCCTAACCTGCAAAGACCTCGAACGCCGGAGATGAGAGAGAGAAAGAGGCCGCGGGAGTCGCGGGTCGGGCTCGGCGCATTAAGCAATCTGTGGCAGCAAAAAGTTCGTCGCGATTGAGTTGATGGAATTTCCAGTTTGAAGGCTCCTACGCGCCCAGTGGGGCTACTCCCAAAACAGCAACCAGCTTGGTACAGTGCTGCAGTACACGCAAACGGTGTCCACACTGTACACACTTGACATGATTCTCAGAAAGTAAGAGTTGATAATCTAGACAAGGTGGACACAGGGAACCAACGACGATGCATATTTTGATACTCATAGGAAGGACTTCAAAGGTATTTTGATTCATTACCGTTTTAGCAAATGCTCCGCACCTAGTCTGCACAATTGACAGCAGAAATACCACAACTCCAGTGTAACCATTGCCGCCCAACGCCAACATCAATACATGCCATCTTTCCCAACCCGGGGGTGTATCAAAGCTCACTCATATGCGCATAACACCATCACAAGGTACTTTCGTCCAGTCGTCTCTTGCCCATGTGTCCCTACATTATTCCTTCTCCAGGTCCTTGGGGCTTGGGTCACCGATGCCATCCTCATTGATCGCAAAGAGACAGTCACTCTCCGGCAAACAGGGGCTGTCGTAGATCTTGGCGACACGAGTCTCGCCTCGACCCTTTCTCAAGCTGATTCTCGTCGTACTTGCGTGGGCGATAATGTTACCACCGATTGGCTTCTTCGGGTCGGGGTTGAACATGGCACTCGGTCCACCATCAACCTGTGCGACGACTTGGTTGGTGATCACCACGGCAATACCAAACTCGTCGGCGAGACGCTGAAGCGTGCGCATAAATTTGGCCAGGTGAGTCTGTCTCGACGAGAGTTCACCTCGGCCCAAGAAATCGGTTCTGTAAAGCGCCGTCGCACTGTCTACAATGAGGAGCGAGAATCGGGTCTCGCACATCATGGCACCAGCCTGCTGGAGGAGCTGGAGCTGGTGATCTGAATTGTACGCGCGAGCATAGGCCACATTGTCGAGGACCTCTTCTCCGGAGAGACCGAATCTGTTGGCGACGGCCAGCAGTCGAACGGGTCGAAAGGTACCCTCAGTGTCAATATACAGACACTTACCCTCTCCGCCACCCATGTCAAAGGGCAGTTGACATGTCACGGCAAGAGTGTGGCAAATCTGACTCTTTCCCGTGCGGAACTCTCCAAACAGCTCAGTCACCGATCCGGTCTCGATACCACCGGCGAGAAGTGTATCCAGCTGCTTGGAGCCAGTCGTGATAGAGATGAGCTCGCTTCGTCGTTGGTGCATCTCCGTGGCGGTCGTGAAGCCCATTGGCACAAGTTTCGAGGCTGATTCCCTTCAGTCAGATTGATTTGCGCAATTGTGTGAGATGGGTTTTCGTACCTTCGGCAAGAATCTTGGTTGCCTTTTGTTCCGAAATGCCTTTGATCTGCTCCAACATGCGGCGCGGGGTATACGCTACTGACTCTACGGTGTTGAAGCCGCCGTCGACGACCATTTGGATATCGCGCTTCGTCAAGCCGGCAACTCCCTTTTTCTTCATCAGCACGCCATACACAACGCGAAGGCAGTCTGGTCGGAGCTTACCTCGAGCGCAGTGAGTGGCGTAGGCGCGCCAGGCCCGGTCATGCCGCTCTCATCGCCATTGTGGCTCTCGTCGTAGCCGTCAGCGTCAGCCATTGTGCTCGTAGATGTGAGAAATGAGACGTCGAACTGTGTATACACGAGGGAAATGACAGCAGTGCACGCGCAAAGTCGGACGTCAGGAAACGAGTTAGGTGTTCATACGATTGCCAAATTGTTGATGGTGGGCGAAACGCGGGCTCTTAAGACGCGTCGGGGACGACTGGTGGTGGCGACTAATCGAGAAGAAAATACGCCAAATCACGTGCGGCAATTAAGAAGCCGGTCGGCCCCACCGTGTGCCTGGAGTTAGCGTCATATTAAGACGCTCCGTGCTTCCCTCATCAAACTCACCACTGACACCCCAAGGTAACAGCGCGACAATTGCTAATCATGACATCGTTGAGCTAAGGCATTCGCAATTGTGTCGCATGTAAATGCCAGACTTCGATTCATTTGATATACTCTGTGCATCAGCGTTAATTGTATTCGAGAGCTTGCAACAACCCTTCTATGCGTTGAAGTCTCCAGCTCAAGCTGGGCTAGATATCATCACTCTACCATCTGGAGTCAAGTTAAGCTCACAATCAGACACAGCGACGAGTTATAAATGGATTCAATCGTTTTGTTTTTAACCTTGTTTCATTATCATTGCTAGTATATAGCGAAGGAAAGAAAAGAAACCCGAAACACCAATCCCAATGCAAGAGACCCATTAATGCTCATCCCCCCATCAAAGTCCCATTTCCTATTCCCTCAATTCTCATTATTGTCGTGTTGTACAATTGGAAGGATTATAGCCATAGTCGTCTTTTAGTTGATGAAGATGCGGCGAGTCTCGTGCTTGGGAGCCTTGGGCACCCGGATGGAAAGGATACCATCCTTGAACCCAGCCGAGACGGCGTCTTGCTTGATCTGGCCGGGGAAGTTGAAGACCCGGCTGAACTCGCCAATGCTGCGCTCCGAGACCCAGTACTTTGCGTTGTCGACGGGTTCCTTCTTGGCAGCGGCGGCGTGGTGGTGCGCGACAGCAGAGGCAGACTTGTCGACCTCGGCGACGGTGGTGGCGGGGGTAGGCTGCGCGGTGGAGTTTGTCTCGTCGTCCTCTTCATCCTCGACGGTAGCCTGGTGAGGCGAGCGAGGGCGCTCAGTGCCGGTGGTGCTGGCGGCGTCATTGTTACCGCCGTCGGTGATGGCGCCGCTCATCTCAGTTCCGGAGGACTGCTGGAGGAGGCCCGCGGGCGGGGTGCCGGCGGTGTAAGACCGCTCGACGCGGCCGCGGATGTGGAGGGTGTGCGGGTCGGTGAACTCGATGGAGACGTCGTCCTTGCTCATGCCAGGGAGCTCGCCATGGAGCTCATAGGCGTCCTCGACCTCGCGGACATCAAACTTGGGCTGGAAGGTCGGGACGTGGTTGCGGTGGGTGCCGCGGGCGCCGCTGGAAGGAGTGCCGTTGCCCTGGCGGGAGTAGTTGTCAAAGTCCTCCAGAAGGCGGAAGAGAGGGGTGAAGGAGGCGTCGGAGTTGTAGAAGTTGCGGGGGAAGAAGGCCATTTTGATGGTGTTGTTGTTGTTGGTCGTTGAGAGGGTGTGAAGTGGTTGTATGGTGGATTGATTGATGAGTAGAAAAACTGTAGTGATTGCGAGAGCTGGTTGTTTTGTTGTGTGTATGAGAGAGTTGTAGCTGTGTTTGCTTGTTGTTGTTCTTGATGTTCTGATCTGATGAGAAAAAAGTCGGCGGTAGAGGCGATCAAGACGACCGATTTATACAACTGAAGCAGGCATCATCGTGCCTTCCCCAGCGTTCCGGAAACATCGCTGAAAAATCAAAGAATCCGCTGCAAGGCCCTTCGAGAATGGACTCGCGCATCGGAGAAGGGACGCGCATGCTGCGAAAGCCTATTCTGGAGGGATCTGTAAGCTTCTCTTTGGCGATGGCCTCACGATGGGAGAGGGTTCTGGTAGCTTCGGAGGTGTGGAAGCTGCTGGAACCTTCCAGCGGTTTCCATTGGCCTTCGCCACCGGCACAGCTATACATTACTCAACTCAATCCCATTGAAATTTAGGGTGGAAAACCATTCAAGTCAATTGAGCTCTCTCACTGACACTTCAATCAGTCGATAGTTCCCCATTGATCAATACGATAAACATGTCAATATCCGAAATGTAGAAACCGCATCTTCAGACCTTCGAAGAGCAGCTCGAAACCGTTGTAAGTCGCCGTGGTACATCCACCTGGCCTACTTTTTAGAGTTTCGGCCTCCGACAAGGGTTCAGCAAGACGCAATCCGTCATCTGTCCAATCAAATTTCGACCCCCGACGTCAAACGGATGGTCCGTGCCGGGCACCTCTCCTCCCCCTCCCCGGCCCCCAGCTCGCCTAGTCACACAGACTTGTCCATGACAGAAAGCCGACCAAAAAAAAGAGTCCAGACTCTCAATCGCCCATGGCCAGGTCCAGACTCTTAGGTATTCCAAACCAGCCCGCGGGATCCCCATCATCGTGTTGGATCCTGCAAATCGGGGTTTGTAGTGTGATACAGCCCACGGCGACTCCCGTTTTAGTCTGCATGTCCGGTCTGGTTCCCGCGAAACCTGTTGCACAATTATCTACGCCCACTTTCTATGGAACCATGGCACATGGGTAGTGAGAGAGAGTGAGAGAGCGGGGTTGAGAAAAAAAAGATTGCAATGCAGCAGGCCGTTTGAGAAGGACGAGCCGATGCCGGTGGCAGCTTACGGCATTGCTGAGTCAAACTCTTACCTCAGGTAATTCGGATACGTCAAACCCGCACGTCGTAGCGTCTCCGGCCCTCTGGGATTTGGTATCTCACAATACGGTGGTCCTGGCAGTGTGGTGGTGTACCTCATAACGTGGGGAAAACGTTCGCCTCACTCCAGAGACGGAGACCCTCAGTAATCATCCCGTTGCGATCATTATAGTAACCCCGCCGCAAGAACTTGGACGAGATATCGGTCTGGACGGACATCAAGTAAAGAAGTGGCGGAAATTCAAGGCCTGTTACTCCGTGCCGTGGATTCAAATGATTGTGGTGGTGCTCCGTACCCCTGACGATAAAATCTGTCAGTTTGCACACTCAAATGTAACGGTACATCATACACGCTAGCTTCACTTTTCGACGAAAAACATCGAATTGGATCTGACGAAAAAGTCAGTCGATCCCACAGACATTCCCTGATCAACTGATCAACTGAACGGGAAGTTCGCGCATCTTGACATCAATTTCAAGTAACCAAAAATCGGCAATTGAATGACATGCGCCTGGTCAGCCATGCGACGAGGAAACCTTGCCAATTAAGGTTTGAGGTCGCAGTTCGAGTCGTGATCCCGACGCTCGTCCGGGTTCATCCCTTCCAGGGTCAAGCCACAATGTGGATGTCGCCACCGTAAACGTGCCACAGCTGATCGACGACATGTCGTGGATTCGCAGTAGGAATGGCATATTAACCAACTCTTTCAAGTCCTGCATTTTGCCTTAACTCGTCGGACCAAGTGGGAAAGCAAATGCATAGGGCGGGATATGATAAATGGAGAAAATCTGCTCCTTTGACCAGTCCATCCGTACCAACTGTCCCGGTAGCTGTCACATCGCCCAGGCACCGCCCCTTCAACTCCAAATTCATGGGCAACATACACCAAATTCTTTCGTAGAATTAGACAGCCAGATTAGATACATTGAGAAGCAGCACATCCAGATAACCAACCATCACAGCGCTCGCCATGGCCTGCATATGCGGCTGTTGTCGTAAAAACATGTCCAACCGATCGTAAACCACAGAGTCCGGATCAAAATCAACTAATGCCTGAGAAATGAAGTCTCGGCTAAGTCGCCAATAATACCGATGACGGTGCCGGTTATTGTTGGTACTGTGGCCTCATGGGCGGATATCCTGCAATCATCGCCATTCCGGGTCGCATAGCCGGCACTGAACCTGGACCAGGACTCTGAACTCTATTGAAGAGCCCAATCAGCCTTCTTCCGACGGACGGTTCCAGCTCGGTGCCGTCTCTCGCGATCTTGACCTCGCGGTTCGAGTTCCATGGATTACGAAGACCCCTGGTGCGGTAAAATGGCAGTCGTGCCGTTGACAGCCATTCGAGTTTGAAGGGCTTCCCCCAAGCCTTGGTGTTACCATCGGCTTCTTGGTTCCCGCTCTTACGGCTGCTCGCATCGCTCTGTTCCATTTCGGGTTCCTCTTCCTCGTCACCACTCTCTCCATCCTCACGCTCTGCTTCCCAGAAGATGGTGCCACGGGCCGAATCATCAATGATCCTGCCCTTGGGCGCGTACTCTGTGGGTTCGGTAGGAATTGCCTTCGGCAAGTCGACATCGTTAGCGGACTGTGCCTTGGGGGCAAACTCGATAGCGGCGTCCGGGTCTTCGTTAATTTGAGATGTCATTCTTGCGTATCCGAAATATTCGCCCGATTTGTTCGCAGAAAACACCAAGTAGACATTGTCGACGGCCTATAGAAATAAGTCAGAGATGCAAGACTAGACCTTCATGATGCTGCTTACATTGAAAGCGGCATTCAGCGTATCCTCATTGTGAGACTGGGTTGCCCAGATCCCCGTCCTGACACTAAGCTCGAGATCCTCCACAGTCAAACTTTTCAGGATGAAGAACTTATCCTTCTGAGATGTTGCTTCTACTGCGGTGACGGGCTTGACATTATTGGACTCTGCCACTGCCACTTCGGGAGTAGCTTCAGTAGCGCTTGGCGGTGCAGCGACATCGTGAGGCGTTTGCGATCCAGAAGAGGCCGCTGGGCCTGTGGGTGCTGTAACACCTGTTGCGCCCTCGACAGTGCTCTTGCGCAAGCGGCTGACCAGGCGAACGGACTGGAATTTAGAATCGTGTAATTTTTGTTGAGCCGTCACGCATGTTTGTTCGTCTTTGAAGTTGGCGAATGCACAGTTGCTTTTCGATATCAAGAATAGGGACTCGAGGCCGTTTGCCTCCTTGCACACGTGGTGGACGAGGTTCATAAGGTCGGTTTGAGGCGGAAGATTTCCAACCCAGATCGCATGTCCTGATAATATTGTCAGCGAGCGAGTTTGACTCTTCGACTTGCAACAAGACTAACCACTTTGACGCGGTTTCCGCGGTGGCCCGCGTACAACCCCGGATCGACCTTCACCTACATCTATAGTTCGGTCAGTGATGTCTCTCCGACACGTTGGCACTGAGCGCGCAATACCACTTGACCTGTGGCTCGAGGGAGCGTTCATACCGCTAGGGTCGATTCCGTTGGGCATCTGAGGCATGACTCTAGGGTCGCTGTGTCCGGTGTTCGTTCCCATGTACTGTGCCGAGACCATGGGATTGTGAAGAGCTTGATTCTGGGAGTAGTGGCCAGCTGGAGGATAGTAGTACCCTTGAGGGATCTGATTATGCTGCGGGTGGTTCATAACCATTTGGCTCGGGTAGTATCCCATGTTTGGGCGAGCTTGCTGCTGAGTCGGAGAGAGCTGGTTGGTGTAGTAGTGCTGCATCTGGTGGTGCTGCGGCATGTAGTATTGCGGGTTTCCCATGGGCATCGCGCCTTGGCCAGGATACTGAGGAGCCATCTGTGGCATCTGCGGCATCATCGAAGGCGACGATGTGGCCGGGCTGAATCGCTGCTGTTGATGCTGCGGCTGGCCACCGGGCACGTAATGCCCATGCCTCATGTTTGACTGGGGCAGCGCGTTCGCCATGTTGTTCATGTTGAAATTCCCGGGGCGACCGGCTGCGGGCTGCTGAGCCATGTCGAGTTGAGACGAAAAGGCATGTTGCGGAGGGCCGTACTGCTGATGCTGCAGATGGGGGATGCCTTGAGCTTCCATCCTGGACTTCTCGTCTAGAAGAATGGGCGAAACACTTGCAGCGTTTGCGTTTAAGCCCTGGTGAGAGTCCACAATAGGATACTCGGTGACGTTGGGAGGAGATTGAACATCTCCCATTTGTATGGTGATGGTGCGAGCTGTATCGGAGTCTAAGCCGCCCACAAACTGTCGTAATCGAATTAGCAAAATGCCCAAACGTCGGCGGCCGGGACCAACGGCGCCAGCAAGCCGGACTGAGGTCCATCTAGTAGTTTATACCTTCGGTAAAGCACTAGTCCAAGCCCCCGGAGCTCTGGGTCGACTGACAGCTCTAACGGAGCAAAACCCAGACGAGAGGAGAGACGGTCAGGATGTGACGGGAAGTATGTATGATTCTAGGCGCCACAACGAGATTGAGCTATTTGCGGTAGATGAGTGGAAGCCCACGTTGTGGCCAATGTGGCTAGTTTGCACAGCCTTTGAAGGAAAGGGGGGGATTTCCCTCTGGAAAGTCACGCTTCCGAGCGCCCAAGGGTATATGTGGCAGTTAACCCTGCTCAGGAAGGAGCGCGTGCGATGTGTGGCTCAATGAAATTCCTAGAAGGCGATCAGCTCGTCTGGGCGTCCAATACCAATGCAGAGAAGAGCCCGAAGCAGGGGGGGCTGCGTAGTCTTTGGTACCAGGGTGATGGAGGGGGAGCTGCCGAAGATGACGGGAAGGACGAAGAAACGAGACGCGAGGGGCTAGGTTAGGGAACTCCAGGCATGCACATCGTGTGGAGAGGTGCGGCTTCAGTATGGTGCGGTTGCCACTAAACGAGGGCTGTCTCTTACCTGAACTTCGGGGCGCCGACGCAGGGGTTGTTGCTTTACTGGTAGATCGATGTTCTACGAGTTACGAGTCCAATGATGTAAGACGAATGCGAGCTCAGGACTTGATGATAGGATGAATACACGTCAAGGTGACGATGTGATGTTGTGCAGCAGAGGACATCCAATCCAGTGCGATTCAAGAGAATGAAGAAGTATGGAGAGTCGACGACTGAGAAGCCCCCAGTGGCAAGACGAGACTCGACCGGTTGAAAAAGACCAAGTCAACGTAAGCGAGGGTTTAGACAGAATAGTCCTGGCGTACCAGTTAGAGGTTGCTGTGGTAGCTGCGTGATGAAGGAGACACCAAGAGTGCTTCTTCTCCCAACGCCCAATGATATTTATGGAAGAAGGAAGGAAACGGCTATCATGAGATCCGGGCAGTAAAAAGAGAAAGGCGTGGAATAGCAGCACAAGGAAGGTGACGAGTTACCGACAGGATGGTGGCCAAAACCCAAGGGCCGGGTATCTTGCACAAGCAAGCAGAATGTGGAGGCTCTCAGAATCCTAGTTACTTGTTGAGCAATAAGAAAGCTATGGGCAAGCGGCGACTGAGGCGTAGGGGTTTGAGAGAAAACGTTGGAGGAGTTGTGGGATGCCAGAAGCGCACGTACTGAAGTAGAGTAGATGGCGCAGGATAATGCCCACAGTTTCGAGCTCGGGGGAGCTGTCGAGGAGGTGCTGGAGCACTGGAGGTGGATTCCAAGATTGCGCCGTTGGCCGACTCGAGGAGAGCTCCGAGATGTAGGCGGCAACCACTTCGCCGCTATGCGTCCGTTGTTGTCGTAGTGTATGCGTCGCACCTTTTCTTTTCTTTTCAAAGATATCACAAGGAAGAGGCCGAGATGGCAGTGCTGATGAGCGAGAGAGGACTGCCCGGCTACACTACACCGAGGCAGTTGTGAGAGAGAAGACAGGACGAGTCGAAGGTCGAGTCTGGGTGAGCGACGGGTAAGGCGAGAGGGAAACGACCGGGCCAGACAGTGGGTTAAGTGGCGTTCGAGGAGGGGTGGGTTTAGAGGCGAGAGGCGTGTGAGTGTAAGTGTATGTGTATGTGTGTGCGAGAGAGAGAAAGAGAGAGAGAGAGAGAGAAGCCAAGGGGCAGACAAGAAAAGCAGTGCAGTTGGAGATGGAGAGACCGAGATGAAGAGACAGAGCCACAGCCTGCCGCTTCATGGGATACCTACCTAGAGTGGGCAGAGGTTGAGAGAGAGAGAGAGAGAGAGAGGCACAGAGGCACAGAGGCACTATACTAGGTCGTAGGTAGAAGGTCTCGCTCTCAGTCCTGGCCAGTTCAGCCCAGATGGAATGGGGAAGAGAAAGGAGGGATGGGAATTGAGGAGGAGGAGGAGGAGGAAGAGAAAAAAGGCATACACCTCACACCGTAGGGAGGGGTGGCGGTAGAAGGGGCGATGCGGGTAAGGGGAGCATCCATGGTGTGGGAACGAACTGATGTGCATGGCCAGGTGCCCGTTCTGGAACCAGTAGCATCAAATTGGATGAAGAAAGATGGGATTTTTTTCTTCGGTTCTTGGCTGCCGCTCTGAGATGTGCAAGGGACACAGATGTGGTCGGGTGGCCCTCCCACTTGGCCGGGCCACGAACTAAACTAGACGAAAGTAGCTTGTCGCCTTGTGTCAACAGGGATGGACTCGTAGATGGAAGTCTTGTTCTCATGATGAATGCGACGGTATGGGCACTTAAGCACGAGAGCTACCGAATCACAATCAATCGAGAAATTGCAGAGAGCGAGGAAGAGAGACACAGAGAGGGAGAATGATGTGTAAGAGAGAGAGAGAGAGAGAGAGAGAAAGCAAAATATCCGCCTATCAAGGCACCTTACTTGATCCATACACTTGTAGCTCAATGGTGATATGAACATAGTAATACAGGTATCGACAGACAGACTGACTAAGTATGAGATAACCTTGGTACAGATGGAGACCTCGAAAACAGAGACAAAAGGGCTAATGGAAACGAGAGAGCGAGGTGCAGAGCAGACGTTGCAGAACAGAGTGACAAGAGTAGAGCAACGACAAACAACACAAGAGACGAGCAGGGCGGCAGGTGGAGGAATCCGATGGAGAGCGACCCAGTCTTGCATTTCGCCACTCGACCCGCCGAGCCACTTTCCAGACACAGAGTCAGGAAGGGAAGCAATCTGTGTCCGAGTACGTAGCTAAGTAACGAGTAGCAAGTGAAAGCGCGAGAAGGTACGCAGTAGAATGAGGTAAGGTACTGTGGCCTGTGGTCTGTGGCTAAAGTACTTCCGCGCTTCTCCCTCGTGCTAGGTTTTCTTCCTGCTGCCAAGTACTACAACGTGCCGACTTGATCTGCTCAGCTTGCCTGCCTGCCTGCCGACTGTTTACAGTATGTAGAAAATCCAAGGTTACTTTCAAGAAAAAGTGCAAGGGGATGGGGGAGGAAAGAACAAGAGCCCCAGAAAACAAGAACGAGAGACAGGGACCGCGCTTGCTCGCCCACTCGTTCGATCTCGCTCTGGTCTTGGTGTCTTGTTAGTCCCGTGTCTGGCCCGGACGCCCAACCACATTGGTCCTGGGCCTCCCTCAGTCACCCAAAGTCGCCTCCCGGTACGTATCGCTTGAGGTACTCGGCGCGGTACATCAAGAGTACAGGGGGCAGGTACAATCGCTCCCGCTACTACTTCGTACGTACGTCGTATCTCCTTGAGCTCCATGTGCTGCTCCCTGCAATTCAAACTTTTTTGTCTTCCAGCTTTGGCGCCTTCTTCTTGACTGACGTTGGCTTTTCCCCATCACTTGATGGATCGCTAGCCTCAAATTCTAAACAAGGCGTGCCAGGCGGGTGGCGGATACCTAACTGATAGGCATCGCATTCGCAGCTGTGTACTATCAATAGCTGATCAACCCCCTGTTGTCCATAAACGCAGCAAAACATCGGAATCCTCGAGACCCTTTCCCAGATCATTGCCTGCTTTTCATTGCTTTTTCTTCGCTTTTAGGCTTGTGAGTTTGGGCGTTGGGTACTGCTGCTGCACAGCTGCGACACGGCATCATGCGTTATTCGCACAGAGTAACAGCACCTAGTCCAAGAGGAAAAAGGACGCATCGGGCTGCTGTTACTGGAGCTCACAACCGCATCTCCCGGTCCAGTCCTCCAACTTCGCCCTACGTAGTACATCTCCAGCTTTGCCCAATTGGGGTTGAGCTTTATTTTGCCGTAACCTCACCCTCGCATCTAACTGACTTGAGTTCGGGTAACAGCAACGTGCTCAACTGGTGATCTGGGGGCGGCTATGCGCTTCCGAGGCCAATAGCAGGTAGGTGTAGGTAATCCTGAGAGTGAGCTATCTAGCATCGGCGGTGGAGTGGCTCGAGAAAACGTGCGCCTAACATGCCTATGGATCCGTACAGCATTTGTGTTGGCGAGACCCATCCCATCTAACCAAGCTACATCGGTATGAGGCTTGGAGGATAGTCTTATGTCTCATTTCTGCCTCACAGCATGGCAATTTGTAATAAGGCCTGTGAGGCCTACTGGCTCAGTGGTCGTTTACCACAGAGTCAACGGCTCGCCGAAATTCGCCATCGCGCCTTTGGAAAGTCATGACGTATATGACCATACCAGTCCCAGCAAATTCAGTAATCCTTCCATCTTTGAAATATGTTCGGTGCCGCGCTTGCAGGAATCTGCCCTGTAGCATCGCAGGCCAGTCTCTCCCATCGGTGCCGGTACATCATCCCTTTTCAGCCAAGGCCTTGCTGTAGTGTGTCCAGGCATCAGTCGGTTGTCGGAAACGCAGACGCCTTAAAACTGCCAGCGCGAAACATAGGAGTGGTCGAGGACAAGGGCGTGAAAGAGGTTGAGATGTCTGGCAGATTCCTTCATCCGCTATGGATCGAGGGCTGCATCGAGAAATCCGCACTCCTCCCGTCCAATGCCCCAGGCTGCAGGCTCATCCAGTAACAAAGGGAATCAGACTTGGGAAGCGTCGCGCTAAGACTGTGAGAGGCTCAAATTGCAGCACGAGTTGGGTTGGCTGTGAGCCGCATGAGGGAGCCATTGTGCGGGGAGACCGGTGGTCTAGACCATTCTCCCCTTACCCAGACAGCCCGTAAGTTGTAACACGCTCATCTGGATGATCTCCAGGCAAGAGAGGCCTGTAGGTCAACGCGGGCCCTCGGCCCATCGGTGGTCTGATCACTCCATAGCCCCCAAGTTGTTTCTCCGGCTCGCCAACGGCAGTAGTAAATTGTAATAAGACAAGCTAGACAAGCTGGCCAAGCGTCCGAATCCACGTGCTTGGGGCAGAGGTGGTACAAACATCGATGAACACTGTCGAATATCACAATCGTTGATGGAAGCCATGCTACGAAAGCTTGATAGATGAAGAGAAGAGAGGAAGCGGAATAACGCGAGGACTGGGCCAACGCAGGAGCTGGAGTATCGAGTGGAAGGCTGAAAGTGGCCATCGAGGACTAGGTAGGCCGAGCATGCCTCAGTTGGAGACGTTGAGTCGTCGGAGTATTGTAGATGAACAAGTGGACTCGACTCATACAGTGCCAGCGAGGGACAACGATGGAGGAATTGGGGGACCAGACAACTCCATCGCGCCGGAGAGTGTGCGACGAGTCGGGAGTAACGAGATCATCGAGACGTTGGAGTCTTGGAGTAAAGATTTGCAGCAATATGGGGCACGGCGTTTGTGCCACTGACCAGTAGCCGTGATTCAATCGCGAATCGCGATTGTACGTGCAGGTGGTGGTAGGTAGTGTGGAGACCGCGCGGTTCACCCCACGTCCAGTCCACTGTCACTTGTCAGCGTGCTTGACGCGGTCGGATGCCATAGTGAGCCGGCGACAGTCCTTTGTCTGAGCGATTTGGCGGTTTGGACGGAAGCCGAAGTGTGGACATCCCAAGTGGAAGGGGTGGTGGTGGAGAAGTGAGATGAGGAGGAGGCTGGAGTTGCGGCCAGGGTCCGCGGCGGAAACGGGAAGCTTTCACAGTGAAGTCTGAGGTGATGGTGACTGATCCGACACCGACCACAATGCGCATCTGTCGCCTCGCCTACAGTGGGAAATCGGTCTGGATAGAACCCCACCCACCCCCGCTATTCTGTCCTACGCTCCAACTTGGAGGGTTCAAGGCCAAGGAAAGAACTGCACGGTGACATTTGACGCAAGTATGCAAATCCATCTCCGCCGGTTCTTGTTCCCCTTCCACCTTCCACTCCAAGAGTCCAAGCATCATGACTCCATGAGATGGAGACTTGGAGCATTGGAAAAACTCTGTCTTGAGGAGCTCGGTCTCTTGCCGGAGTGTCTCCGAGTAATGCCAATTTGCGAACTGCGAGTTCACCCTCCGAGACGTAAGGTATCTCTGTCTCTCTCTCTTTCTCTCTAGCCTTGCTTGACATGGAGTCAGCTTCACAAGTGGTTTTCAGGGTCCAACAACTCGATGTACGATTGGGTATTCTATTGGACCAAATGGGAATAAGGTCGCGTTCACAGATAGGGGGATCCCTTTGAGTTTGGGGGCCATCTGCACTTGATTGCATTGTCTTGGCTACCTCACCTTACGGATAGGCACTTTCCCTAGGTAAGCTGAGTTGGCCAAGTTTGTCCCTGCTTTTTTGCCTTGTTCCTCCTTTCCTCCCGGTTACAACTATCATTTGTCTCGCCTCGCCTGCCTCGCCTCATGTCTCTCCGCTCCTTCCTCCTTGAAGTACTGCTCCAGTCTGCTTGCTGTGACATTGAAGACTACTTACCTCATAGGTAAGGTAGGGAACTTTGGATACGTGCCTTGTACCGTACAGAGCAGGTACCTGCGGATGTACTCGTGAAGGTACTCACCCCCCCCCCCCGGTCTCCTTACCCGAAATCTCTTGCAACCACGACTATCCAAAGCCGCCGCGCCAAATTTTGACGGCACCGTCAACATGGGATTCTCCAAACTTTTCGATTTTTTTCAGACCTCCACTTGCATTGCGTCCCCCCTCCCCCCCACTGCCCTTGAAGGTCTCCTCCTCTCCTCTCCAGCAGGCCTGATCCCTTCATTGACGCCAACTGGCAAGCCGAAAGCCTGCAGTGGCAGCATTTTTGCTTCTCCCGCAACCATCTCGAATGCTTGTGGCAAAAAGGCCTGTCTCAAGCTTGTTGGGAAGCTTTCTTACGGTGCTCGCAGCCAGTCACCCGTCAAGCAATTGTCCAATCTCATCGTTGCTTTCACTTCGAGATACCTCTCCGGCGCCAACCCCGACAGCCCGAGTCATCGCCCGAACCCTGTGCCTGAGCAGCAGGACCCTTACCCGTCCACCGCAACCATCTGGGTCCAATCAATCGTGGCAACTCTAGTGCAGCTATCCAGACTTGTGACAGCCGGAAGTTCCTCTCCGGGCCAAGTCGCTACTTGTATATTGTACACAACCTGCACTTACATCTGTGACTACTTGGCCGAGATCCAATCATCCTCCGGATCATCGCAATATGCTTGGAAAGGGTTTACCAGGAAATCGGGGCCGCCGGAGGTGGAAATGAGCAAAAACAAAGCAGAAAATATCCACGGCGCACGCCGTCCAAGGATGCGAGCATGCCAAACTGCCGTTTGACGCCAGAGACGCCGCGCGGCCGAGTATTGCGGCTTGCCGGTCGGAGTTTCGCCACAACTGACCAAGGCTCCAGCTTGACCGGCGCCGATCCTTTACCCCATCCGCACCGAGATCTGCGTTGCATGTGGCACGCATCCTCCGAGAATCGTCACTGCTACCACATTATGATCCGGGGGTGAGATCATGGCACGCATGGCTAGAACCCGTCGAAGCAGTACAATTGAGGGTTCTTTTTGCACCCCGACCCCGGAAACATGCCACCCGAAGTCCCATGCGTGCGGCGTGCCATGGTCAATAACCTACCCGGACATGATACGGCGTTCTACTGATAGCCAGGCACTTCAGGTGTACTTGCGCGAGCCATTGATGCCTTGAGAAGAAAACGCCCACATTGCCGAGCGCATCAGACATTTGAAGGACTGGCCGGCTCACAGCTTCATTGACGACCAACACCAAGGGCGCCAGACGCCCGGTCGCACAGATGCACGGTACCTCGCCGTCACGGCACGGCGCCTTGTCTTCAGCCGCTAAGGCTGGTCTGGCAGCTTTCTCCGCGGCTAGTCTGCCGTTACGGGACACAAATGAGTTAGTTAATGCAGTCTACAGTGGCCCGGTGCACATGAAAGGAGAACGGCATTCGACCGAGAGACTACCGGTAGTGAAGTCGCTACGTTCCGCAATCATCTTGGCGCCGTATTACCTCATCAACTTGTTGGAGAGGCGCCAGTGGTTGGTTTGAAATCCGTCACTCGAAGACGGTGCAGCGGCATATCCCATGTCGATGACAACACAGGGCAGCCTCAAATGATGATCAGCCAAAGTCGCTGGTGACAAGGCGGCTCAAACTCAGCACTCCCTCTCGCTGATATGGTAAGTGAGGCACTTGGACGCTTGGCCAGTCGCCGCGGCTGCATGGAGAGAAGCAGCTATTCGAGACAACAACATACAGGTGACATCGCCTTGACATATAATTTGACCCTCGGACGCGGGACACGCAATTGCGGTCTTCTACTTCAAAAGTCGCAGCCTCGTTTCTTCGCAACCAGAACCATATTCCGCTTAGTGCAGTCGGGCCGACAGCTTTCAGCGTCAGTGCTTGTTCGGTTCAAAATGCCCGAGCTACAGAGGCTGTCGTCTAAAGCCATTGAGTTCTGCACTTGTCACTGGACTTCGACTTGGATTAACGACTTTGGCAGTTCTGTGCATCGCCATCTGACTTGGTCTCGACCGTGCGCCGCGGTGGCGACGCACAATCTGTCGCTTCAGAGGATTGTGTGCGATGTCGTTCGCCAGGTGGTCCATGTCTACCAGCCTAGCGCCTAGCAAACTTGAGACTCCTCGTCTGCGCAGTAGCAGACTTGATTTCGTTGGAGGAGCTGTCTCCGAGGCCCTGGACGATGATGCAAGTGTGTGCAACCACATCAACGACCCTTGCTGTTACAAGCCACACAGCAGATGCAACATCAGCCACGTCTAGCCCAAATACGCAACGATTATCTGTACATCCCATGCACGTCTGACGACGATTGACGACGATTTACAACGACCATTTGATGTTTCTATATAAACTCATCTCAACTAGAAATTGCAGTGTGCCTGACGTAATCCCGGGTAATGGCTATTCTCGAGATGGCAAATCCCCTGATCTGCCGAGAACTAACCAAATACCTCTCGAATACCGTCGTATCGGCATCCTCTCCACAATCGGCATGGACCGAAGATAAGATGCTTTTTTCCCGTCTTGGGTTGACACGCCTCTTTTCAAGCTCAAGCCTGTCCAAGTCGTATCAAGACGAAATATTGCCTGCAATGCTCATCGGCAATGCAACAAGGGTTCAGCTCTCCAGGCCTGCGACGTACTGGCACATGGTCCGTCCCTTCTTTACCACCGGAGGATCAGCATACGTCTCCAGTGGCAAACAGACCACCCGTTTTGTTGGAAGCTGAGATTTTCGGCGGTGCCTGGTGGCTTTGTAGGTAGTAGTGGTGGTGGTGGGGTTATGAGGACACCTTTGGAGAGTAAGCTTCCGACGACGATCGCATCTCGAAACTCTCTGGGCCCATAGCGGCATTGCGTCTGAAGAGGAGAAGCTTATGCTGGATTACGAATCAGTTTTTCGACGTTAGCTGTCAGTAGCCCGCCTTCCAGCCCTAGACGGTCCCGTAGTACTGTACAGTCGTAGAGTAAAGTAGCTTGAGACTCCAATAACCTTGTATCGTACAATTGTGGCAATGACAGGCAAGAAAATGTAGAGAGCTCATCTGCTCGGATGGCCTCCCCGCCAGCCCGGCGCGGGTCAGCTGGTCGTGAGGCCGGGGGGGGATTGAAAGCTGCAGTCTTGCTTCGTTCAAGCTACCAATGATACCCCGTACAACAGCTTCCCGATGAAAGGCATGTCCGTCACTACTCAGCATCACCCGCCAAGCTATTCGGTGCTCGCGGTTTTGGTTCATCAAACCCCCTGGCAAAAGCTCCAATCTCTAGAATCTCCAGGAGGCCCCTTTGATACGATTGACTCGGCCCTAACGCTGCCCCGTGATACCTAGCTTCCTCGGGCGTCTAAGACCGTTTCGCTACCGATATTCCGGATCACACAGGTTGGGGGAAGGGGCTCTAGCCGGCTTCCCAAGGCGAGGCTGTGCTCTCTCTAGAGAGGCACATCCATAGCGTAGATACCTATATGACAGCCAGACAGAGGCAAAGCCAGGCCCTACCAGGCGGTTATCTCAAACGGGGCGGGCGCCGAGTACGCGGTACTTTGCCACTTTGCTCCAAAGGTACTCGTCCGCGATCCTCTCCCAAAGAGCCTCCGTGCTTTCGTGCATCGTGCCCTCGCTAACTCGGTCCAGCCCGTACCCGTAGTCTGACAGGAACGGGCTGTCCAACGTCCAATACCCGTCCGCGATGTCCTTCCCTTCCTTTCTGCCCGCCCCTCGCTTGCTGCGCTTAGTGCCGTTTCTGGAACCTGCACCTGGACTTGGATCTGGAACCTGGAGCTTGGTGGTACCTATCACAGTCCCGTTTGGAAGGGCTCGCTTTCCTCGAGACGACCAGCTTACCAAGTATGGATGGCAGTGCGAGAGAGAGAGAGATGGAGAATGCCACACGCCTAGTAACACGGTTGTACTGCGGAAAAGCCAAGCGGGCTTACTACGTCTGATTCGCTGGTGCTAGGAACGCAAGTCTTGCAAAGTAAAGCACCAGATATCACCCAATGTCAAGCGATAATGGAGGAGAGCTCTCGGAAGGGGGGATTTCGAACATTGAAGCATCCGATCCATTCATTCCGTATTCGTACTCGTCCCTATTAGACTTCCTCCCCCTTGGACTATGGCCTATTGCATACCGCCCAGCTGTGTGGCATCACATGCAGCAGAAAAGGGGTCAAATACCATCGGTTCGTCCTGGGTAGCCGATGCGTCCTGCGAGGCGAAATGAGATATCCCTGCCTGCATTCCTCTATTTCCCCCATGCTTGTTCCGGGGCAGAGCGAGCGACCTACCAGATTTTCTAGATGGCCTCGCAGCATGGGCTTAACAAGGGGAACCGCCCGCACGAGTTGCAAAAGGAACTTTGGTTTGCTGTGAACACGCGGGCTGAAATTTGAACCGCGTACGATGATTGATCAGCTGAACAAGTGCCTCTTTGGCATTGCTACCTGTCTGTATTGTACAACCCCCCCCCCCCAACCGCAACACTTTCCCGAATCCCGTCATATCTTTAATCCTTCTTCAAGGGGAGAAGGACCTCCTCGATGCCGTTCTTGGTAATGACCATCATTTGCAGGTGGTCACCGACCTCAATGTGTCTCTCGACCGCTCCGTCAAATGCATCCTTGACCAGAATCTCGGCCTCCTTGCGCTCCAGGGGAACGCGGGGACGCTCCTGCAGCTCGTGACCCACACCGCTGCCCGGCACGTACTGGTTCTTGAAGTTGACCTGGTTGTCGAGGAACGGTGTGATCAAACTGGCGGCGGCACCGCCGGCGCGGGACTGCTCTCTCTCGTAACTGCCGACGGGGTCGTAGGAGAAGACGGCGCCGACGCCCTCCTCGTCGAGGCCGCCGAGGATGGCGTAGACGTAGTAGGGGAAGAAGCGTTTCTGGTAGAGGATCGTCGAGAGACGCTTCGCGCAGGCTGTGACGCTCATGGGCTTGCCGTGGCGGTAGCGGTAGATCTTGCAGATGGTATCGAGGCGGTCCTTGAGGGCCTCGCCGTCGGCAGCGAAGCCGACGACGGAGAGCATGATTGTCGCATCTTCTTGTGTTGAGGTGGTGCCGCCGATCTTGAAGACCTTGGGTGTGTATCTGGAGTTGATGCTGTATCCGGAAGTGCTACGGGTGTCGCCGGCTACGATGGCGAAGTCGGCGCCGGCGATGGCGAGGGTCGAACCGCCGTTGTCCGTGTAGCTGTAGCACAGGGTAGATTAGCTTTTGGGTACGATGAGAGGGTGGAGAGGAGCTCCGTACGGGTTGAAGCGGTGCTGTCTGAACTCGCCATTGGCGGTCTTGGGGGCCTCGGAGAAGGAGTAGTTGGGCCCGTTCATCAGGGGATTTTGGCTGAACATAGCCATGATTGCGGTATCTGAAGGGAAATGAAGATTATTCGTTATCGTTCGTGATGGATATGCCGGTCGTCAAAAGGGTGGTTATCGTCAATTCGATGAGGTTCGTTCGTTGGTGGGGTTGGGTTGATGGGACGTCGTCGCTTTGATTGAGGTTCAAGGCTGCTACTGCTGAGTGCTCCGGTGCACGCGTCAAGCTGGCAGCCTTGCTTGGTGGGTGGTGGTGGTTGGCAGGGGTAGCTAGCTCACCTGATGACTAAGACAGAACAGCTCAGGAATGGCAGGAGCTGTGCAGGGATGTGGCTGCTCTCAGATGGGAAATTTGGGGGAGGCTTGGAGATACCACTAAAGACAAGGTATCGTCACTGTGCAGCTGCCAGCAAATAGACGCGAATTCCAAGGAAAACTCCCGCATCGTGAAATGCTTCAATAAATC